CCCCCAAGATCGCCCCCACAGCGCCCAAATGGCCTCCAAGTTGGCCTCAGGACGGCCCAAGAGGCCCCCAAGACGGCCCCAAGAGGGCACCAAGACGGGCCAGAAGGCCTCCAAGACGCCCAAGATGGGCTCCAAGACGGCCCTGGAGCACCCCAAGAGGGCCCCAAATCGACCCAGAAAGGCCCTCCAAACGGCCCCAAGTCGGCCCCAAGCTGGCCCGAGACGGCCCAAGAGGCCTCCAAGAGGGCCTCCAGGGAGGCCAGAGAATGCCAAAAACATTGATTCGCCTTAGGTTGTTGTTAAAGGATGTTGACATTTGCTTCTTTTCGGCCATCCGAAGGCCCGAGACGGCCCAAGAGCCCCAAAAGATCGCCCAAAGATCGCCCAAGAGGCCTCCAAGATGGCCCCAGAACGGCCCAAGAGGCCCCCAAGACGGCCCCAAGAGGCCCCCAAGACGGCAGGAGGCTTTTCAGACGCCCAAGATGGGCTCCAAGACGGCCCTGGAGCATTCCAAGAGGGCCCCAAGTCGGCCCAGAGTGGCCCCCAAAACGGCTTCCGACAGCGTCGGACGGGCCAGGAGCCCACCAAGACGGCCGAAGATGGCCCTAAGATGGCCCAAGACGGCCCAAGAGGCTTCCAAGAGGGCCTCCAGGAAGACCAGAAAAGGCCAAAATCATTGATTTCCCATAAGTTGTTTTAAGGATTGTGGCATTTGCTTTTTGTTCGGCCTTCCGACGGCCCGAGACGGCCCAAAAGATCGCCCAAAGATCGCCCAAGAGGCCTCCAAGATGGCCCCAGAACGGCCCAAGAGGCCCCCAAGACGGCCCCAAGAGGCCCCCAAGATGGCCCAAGAGGCCTCCAAGACGCCCAAGATGGCCTCCAAGACGGCCAAGATGGCCTCCAAGATGCCTCCAAGACGGCCAAGAAGGCCTCCAAGACGGCGAAGATGGCCCCAAGATGCAGCCGAGACGGCCCCAGATGGCCTGAAAATTGTCTTAGACTGCCCAAAAGGCCCGCCAGAGGCCTCCAAGACAGCCCAAGACCCCTCGAAAACGTCCTCCAGGAGGCCCGAAACTTGGAAACCACCTGGTCCGATAGCTCGCCCGACTCCGTGTTCCCCGAAGGCTTTCGAAAACCACTCGGGAAACACATGGTCCGATAGCTTGGCCAAGGTCCAACCCGACTTTAGGCCACGCCGGCGCTTCCAAAAAGGCAGGGGGCGGCGGAGATTCGCCGTAGGCGTCTTCGATCCGCCGCCCCCTGTTGGCTTGCCACAGGGGTGCCCAGCTTGCTAGACCCTTTCGAATTTGATTATTTCAGAAAACTCACTGGGGCTTCGGCCGTCCCGCCGGTCACCCGAAGAGACCCCAAACTGCACAAGTCAATGCCTTTCATGCCCAAGATGGCCCCAAATGGACTCCAAGATGCCTCCAAGACGGGCAAGATGGCCCAAAATGGCTTCCAAGTCCGCCTAAGATGGTCCAAGATGGCTTCCAAGACGGTCCAAGAGGGTCCAAGATGCCTCCAAGATGGCCCAAGAGGCCTCCAAGAGGTCCTCCACGAGGGCCCGCAGAGGCCGAAATCATTGGTTTTCCGTAGGTTTTTGAAGGGTTTTGACATTTGCATCTTTTCGGCCTTCCGACGGCCCGAGACGGCCTAAGAGGCCCCCAAGATCGCCCCAAGATCGCCCAAGAGGCCTCCAAGATGTGGCCCCATGACGGTCCAGGAGGCCTCCAAGACGACTCCAAGAGGCCCCCAAGACGGCCCAAGAGGCCTCCAAGACGCCCAAGATGGCCTCCAAGACGGCCAAGATGGCCTCCAAGATGCCTCCAAGACGGCCAAGACGGCCTCCAAGACGGCGAAGATGGCCCCAAGATGCAGCCGAGACGGGCAAGATGGTCCAAGATGGCTTCCAAGTCCGCCTAAGATGGTCCAAAATGGCCTCTAAGACGGTCCAAGAGGTCCGCGATGCCTCCAAGACGGCCCAAGAGGCCTCCAAGGTCCTCCACGAGGGCCCGCAGAGGCCATAATCATTGGTTTTCCTTAGGTTTTTCAAGGATTTTGGCAATTGCTTCTTTTCGGCCTTCCGACGGCCCGAGACGGCCCAAGGTCCCCAAGATCGCCCCAAGATCGCCCAAGGATGGCCCCATGACAGTCCAGGAGGCCTCCAAGACGACTCCAAGAGGCCCCCAAGACGGCCCAAGAGGCCTCCAAGACGCCCAAGATGGCCTCCAAGACGGCCAAGATGGCCTCCAAAATGCCTCCAAGACGGCCAAGATTACCTCCAAGTCGGCCAAGATGGCCGCTAAGACGGTCCCAAGACGCCTCCAAAACCGCCAAGATGGCCCAATAGAGCCAAAGAGTGCCTCAAGCGGCTCTCAAGAGGCCTCCTCCTCCCTCTCCTTTTTCCTACCCCTCCTCCTCTTCCTCCTCCCCCACGTGTTCCCCGAAGACTTTCCGAATCGACTCGGGGAACACATGGTCCGATAGCTTGGCCAAGCTCTAACCCAATGTTCTGCCACATATGCGTTTCCAGAAAGGCAGGGGGCGACGGTGATTCGCCGTAGGCGTCTTCGATCCGCCGCCCCCTGATGATTCATCAAAGGGGTGCACGGCGTGCTAAACTTCTGAGGGGTTTTGCTTCTTTTCTAAATGAGTCCTCGTGGGCTTCGGCCCAAACCTCCAGCCACTCAAAAGACTCGCTCTTCATTGGCCTGACGATAGATGGCCTCCAAGCCTGCCAAGATTACCCCAAGAGAGCCCAAGATGGTCGCAAGATGTCTCCAAGACGGCCCAAGACGCACCCCAGACGGCCCAAGATGGCCTCAAGATGGTCCAAGACGGCATAGATGGCCTCAAGATGACCCAAAACGGTCCAAGAAGCCTCCAAGATGGCTCCATGACGGCCAAAGAAGCCCCCAACACGGCCCCAAGAGAGCCCACACACGGTCCCGAGATGGCTCCCAAGACGCCCAAGATGGCCTCCAAGACGGCCGAGATGGCCCCAAAAGAGCCAAAGATGGCCGCAAAATGTCGCCAAGACGGCCCAAGCTACAGCCAAGACGGCCGAAGTCGGCCAAGACGACCTAAGTAGGCCCCCATGAAGCTTCCAAGACCGCCCAAGAAGTCCACCAAGAGGTCCTCCAATGAGGTGTGACCTTGGCCTTCCGACGGCCCAAGACGGCTAAAGAGGTCCCCAAAATCGCCCAAGAGGCCTCCAAGATGGCCCCATGACGGCCCAAGAAGCCCACAAGACGGCCCCAAGATAGCCCACAGACGGCCCGAGAAGCCCCCAAGACGTTCAAGATGGCCTCCAAGACGGCCAAAATGGCCCCAAGAGAGCCCGAGATAGCCGCAAGATGCAGCCAAGGCGACCCAAGATGCAGCCAAGACGGCCTAAGATGGCCTCAATTTGAAAGACGGCCCAAGAGCGCCCCAAGAGGCCTCCATGAGGTCCTCCAGGAAGGTCCGAAGAAGCCAAAATCAATGATGTTCCATTGATTGTTGACAGAGTTTGGCGTTTGCTCATTTTCAGCGCTCCGACCGCCGATGCTGGCCCAAAAGACCACCAAGGTGGCCCCAAGAGCGCCTAAAAAGCATCCGAGAGGCCCCCCTGACGGCCCAACAGGCCCCCAAAATGACCCCAAGAGCAGACGGGCCAGGAACGCCATCAGAGGGCCCAAGAACCTCCAAGGAGCCGCCGAAGGCCCCCAAGAGGTCTCCAAAAGGCCCCCAGGAGGCCACAAGAGTGCCCCAAGGTGCTCACAAAAGGCCTCCTCCTCCTCCTCCTCCTCCTCCTCCTCCTCCTCCTCCTCTGCTCCTTTTTCCTCCCTCTCCTCCTCTTCTTCTTCTTCCTTCCTTCCTTCCCCACGTGTTCCCCGAAGTCTTTCCACAACGGGTGGGGGGATGTCACATAGTCCGATAGCTTGGTCGAGCTTTGGTCGCAACGTTCGGCCACAAAATTCTTGCAAAAGGCAGACGGCGGTGGTTCGACGTAGGCATCTTAGATAACACAGGCACTGTTGTTGGGACTCGTAGAACTTGTTTCACTCGCTTCACAATGTGATTAGCGCGATTAGTCGACTTCTTACTACGAATATGTGTACTAACAATGTTGTTGATATGACTATGATGCTTCCGCTTGTTATCCGTGCTCTTGCTGATATAAGTATTCCTCACTGCGTGGGACTGCTGCGCACAAATGTTCTACGAACAGAATCCGTTGTGGCTGCACTCATTGTAAAAGTGGCATGGGCGGTTTGGCCCCCTCCCGCCGAGCCTAAGATAACAGAGCTACGATGACAACAATGATGTTCCTCCCGACCGAGCCGTGCACTGTGAGGCCATGCCTCGTGTGTGACGGGCAAGGCAACGAAGCACAGGACTTATCTATGCAAAAAGCGAACTCTTCTTCTTCTTCTCCCAGTCTTCGAGAGGGTGGTCGAAGGGGGCGTCCAAGAGGGGGCTTGTAAATCGAGGCCCAAGGCACGTGTGCGGCCCTTGGCGGGGGCCAAGGCACGTGTAGGGGGCAAGCGGTGTGTAGGGGGAAATATCATGGCCCTGGCAATTATATCCACCCCCGACGCCTTGATTTTTTCAGTACGGGGTCCCTGGGAAATCCTGACCCTTGCCCTGGGGCCAGTCTTTAATCCCGGATCGTCTTTTGACGGTCCGGGGCCCAGCGAGGGCCCCCGAATCCGAAAACGTCCAGACACCTAGTCGTGCAATTTTCTTCACGACCCGCTCATGTCTGGGGCGCCCCCCACACAAGTGTGATTAGCACTGGGAAGGCGACGACACACCCCCGCCCCCAGTTGGCGATCCAGGGGGTGGGGACTGGGGGGCAGAGGTAGGTTTTCGAGGTCCAGCGGTTCAGAAAACATCTCCACCGCCAGCTCCGACCCCCTGGATCGCTTGCTCGGAGGTGAAGTCGGGACTGGGCGTGGGGGGCTTTCGCCTTCTGAACTATTACTATTATGATTGCTGTTCGAGGCCCGGTC